AGCGCCCGGGTCCCCGGTTAGCCGCTGTGCGGGCTGGGCGGTGGCGGCGTCACCCCTGCCAGGGCCGCTGGTTTGCTTTCCGCAGCACCTTCGGCCTCCGCCGCCCTTGTAGGAAACGGTATCTCGAGAAGGAAGCCGCGCGGTGCAGCCTCGGGGGTCGCCGCACACTTCTGCGGGCGGTAGACGCGGGCGTGTAACCGTGCCCTGCAAAAGGTGACAGCCCGAATACCGAGTTTGTAAATGCAGAACTGAATCCAGCAGGCTTCAGAGAGGTTGATCTGTGTGTACAGCTTAGAACTTCAGTGCTTGTAAGGTGTTTACATGGATATGAAGGAGTTTATTTTTTTTTCCAGTGAAACTTATTCTGTGGTCATAGGCTTGTAATGGCCTGTTTGGATGATGCAATCTAAACTTTTATCAGTTTTAGGGGGCTCTTGGTGCTCAAATAAAATAATTTAATGAAATTGAAGCAGAGAAGTAAAAACATGCTTATGTTCAACAAGCTAGCAGCAGGACCTGAAATAAACAAGTCTGTTACGCTTACAAATACTGAAGGCCGACCATGCATAGCAATGCTTCTGTTGTATTCGTTCAAGAGTAAGACAAACTTGCTGTGGTCACATCGAGGATAAAACCTGGAGCACAAACATTTCCTCACAAGCCAAGGTGACATTCCCCGAATGTTTGGTAGCACCTTGAGTAATGGTAGAAAACCGTGGAGCAGAACACCGCTGAAGGACTGAAAAGTCAGATCTCCGTTCTTTTTGCAGGGCAAAGTACAGCATTACTGATTGGTAATGTTATTTATACGCTCCGTGGCTGGATGTAAGGGGAGAATGTTTTCAGTTGCTTTTTCTTCCTTTTGAAGGGAAGGGAATCTAGCTTCTGAACTTGCTTCTTTCTTGTGGTTTTGAGCAGACCTTGTTTAAACAAGATTATAATGCAAAATAGTATTTTCTTTAATTGTGCCCTGATTCTGAGTTATAGATTGCTTATAAATCGATATTGCTAGTCATTGAAAAAGAGGATATGGACAAAGGTTAGACTGAAATGATTCTGAGATTTTTACCTAGTACTTCAAGAACTAATTCTGTATGCTAAAGGTAATTTAGGGCATGAATAGCATTTCATGCTACTGAACGTAGCTATTCTGAATGCTTAAATACTGCTGCAACACCTGGCCTTCTTAAGGGAACTCTGTATGTGATACAGTGATATGATACAATGATAAACAAAGACTGTTGTGCCAGTGCTTCGCTCCAGATTGCGAATGGATGTATCTGGAACAGCTAAAGCGATTATGGCTCCTTTTCTGCTGCAGATTATTGCCCACACAGCAGGCTTGGCAGGGCAGGTCATGTATCTGTCCCTACACCACTGCAGTTTACAGCCCGATGTGCTTATGTAACTTATGTAAGCTGAAATAAGTGACAGCTTACGTTGATGTGGCAGCTTTTAAACTGGGATGTCAAAAAGTGGAATCGGTAACTGCCTCTTCCAGTTCAATCTGCCTGCGGGTGTGTGTCAGAGTACCAGTATTAACAGCACTTCGGGCAGTAGCAGGCTTTTTGTGGATGGTCGTCATGATTTAAAAGGCTTCCTCCCCTTGCCCCTCCCAGCCTTACTGCGGGAGAGTACTGCTCTTCTGCTGGGGACAGTAGAGCAAAAAGTGTGCTCAAGCCTCACCTGCTCTGCCTGCCTGACCAGTGCAAACCCATCGTTATTGCTAGTTTAATGTAAGATCCTAGACGTTGAGCAGAGAGGGATGTGTGTTGCATTTGCCTGTCCCTGCCATACAAATAGGAACCCCTGGCAAAATAGTGGATTTTTGATAGGGGGAACATCTCAAATCACTGCAGTGGAAATCTGCCAGAGTCTGAGGGTTGCCAAGGTTTCTTAATACAGTGGAGTTTAACATAACTTGAATACTTTCTTAGCCTGGCTTAGCTTTGCCTTACTCAGTCGTTGAGTCTAATATATTCAAATTGCGCCACTAACTTCAGCAAACGTATTCCTTTTAACAGAGCAAATGAATGCTTTTATCTGGCGCTGTATGCTCAAGTTGGGATTGGGGAGACTGGCTATGCTCCCTTCTGCCTTAGTTGAAGAACCTTTAATTAGAATTTAGTGAACAACTTGGACATGCTTTGACAATGAGAATCCATTTTAGTAATATTTGCATAACAGTCATGCTACTCGATAGTATCGATGCAGAGTTATCAGCGAAACAGGTATGAAATAAAGATACATACACCGCAGCATGTTAAATAAGAACTTGCTCTTACCTAGTGACTGCTTGATTATACTTACCCCATTTATAAAGCATGCAAGTGCCATGGGCTTTCAGCTTTGCTTGCATAGCTTGTGAGGCCAGGACTGGCATTATCAGTCTCTGCAGTTAAATTGTGGAGGCTTATTTTAAGTGAAATTTGATGATATTTTTTGAGACTAGAGAGAGGAATAATTCTCTCTCCCCTCACCTTTTCTCCTTTCCATTTATGTGGGGGTTGGCATTCTCAAACAACAACTCAGTCACTGGTTTCCCCAAGTTACATCTACTAGTACTTGGATATTTCTAAATTAAGTTCTGATGCGAGTCCTTGCTGGTTTCATGTGAGAGTCACGTTTGCTGTTTGCAAAATACAGAGGGGTAGATGGGTCCAGATGAAATTACTTTGCAGCACAATTCCCTGGAAACTTTCTAAGATACTCTTTAATGTTTTCTTGGCTTTGATCATGTGAGGTAGCATTAGCAACAAAAGCTTGTAACTGTGACTACATACTTTGCCCCCATTTGCACTTGGCCAATTAAATAGAAGAAATGTGTTATATTTTCTGGCTCATGGTAGGACAGCATGCTGTGTTTTATTGTAATAAGTAGTCTATAGCAATGTTTATGTCAAGTATGACTAATATTTTCATCCACTCCTGTTTCTGGATCTGACTTGAGACAAAATAGGCTGTGTTTTACTTTCAGAGAGCTGGTGCATACAGAAGCCTTGGTGCTGAGGGATAGAAAAGTTGTGGTACATCTAAGGTCTAATTTTCCTTTTATCTGAACTCTCAGTTACTGAAATCTGCTCTCTATGAAGCTGTGCTAAACAAAAGAACAGAAAAATTGATGCACCTTCAATGCACTTCAGTTCTTTAGCAGGGTGGGATTTTGCCTGTAATCCTGATTATGAGGGGACTCAGAGTTCCGAAAGAGTTTGTTTTAATTGAAGAGGGTTCTTATCACTCAATTTCAAGAAGTTTTCTCGAAGACATGAGCTGAAATCAAGATCTTGATAATGCTTGTGAGGTTAATGTTAAACGTTCTTTAGATGGTAGTGTTAATTTTGTGTTAGTGCAGTAAAATGTGAGTAATGTTAACTATTTCTGTTACAGGTCGGGAGTTCATTATCCCTTCGCTGGCACATAGGTTCATAGCAGAGATGGTGGATTTTTTTATTCTGTTCTTTATAAAGGCAACCATTGTATTAAGTATTATGCACCTCAGTGGAATCAAGTAAGTTGAACAATTTAAAGCTTTATTATATACAGCCTTAAGCTCTTCATGCTCTTTGAGGTGTCATGACATATATATGATACGCTTATGCATATGGTGGCACTTAGTAACTATCAAAAGTTGAGGAAGAAGCACCACTAGGTTAACTTCCTTTTAAACACTTCATGATTTTGGCTCAGCTGATGGCAACAAAAAATTTGTACAGGTGTCTTCAAAGGCTCACAAACTCCACACTAAGGATAGGTTATATTTGCAGTCATATTTTTGTAAGGCAATAGCAAGATTTTTTTAAAAGTCCTCTAAAAATCGCAAAGAAAAACGTTGATAAATAAATTTGTTTTTTAAACAGGCTTTAAAAATGTACTGGATCTGGCTGGGATGGAGTTAATCTTCTTCATAGCATCTCCTAGGGTGCTGTGTTTTAGGTTTGTGACCAAAACAACTCTAACCCACAACAAAACTGAACAAATTCAGATCCTGCATGTCAGATGATGTACATACTTCTAAAATACAGCCTGATTGCTAGGAATGCTACCATGCTGCAGTCTTTACTGGGTGTAAGTTGGGTTTCTGAAAAAGTATGATTAAGCATTGTGTGTATCAGCTATACGCTAGACTGAAAGATTCTTCATTTCATTCTTATATTCAAATGTAATAATTTAAAGACTATTTCTTGTTTATCCACTGCTTTAACTGTGTGTATCTTATTCCATAGCTCGTTTAGTTCCTCTGCTATGGGTTGGTGTAATCAAATATTTTGGTCTGACTAGGAGATGAGAGCTTGGTGTAGTCAGTAATTCCATCACTGTATAAACACATTTCAGAATCCAAGTTCTCTACTAAAGAACCTTCCAAATTTTGACTGACAGTAAACTGATGCGATACAAGTAACATCTTTCAGACACTTTAACCTGCTGATTGGAAGATGTGTGGAAGAGAGTCAAATCCAAAACAGTAAATATGTCAATGTAAATGATCAGTGGTTTTTGTTCAGATAAGAATGCAACTAAAATGCCAAACTCTCAGTTCTGTTTAGATCCCAAAACCTCCAACCCTACCCTGACGTCTTGTATTTCCATCTTGTTTTTAGTAGGCTGAGAATGATACAAAATCAAGTACTGGAAAGATGGGCCACAACTATATGTATGCTGTTTCTGTAAAGTAGTGAAGGCAATGGAAAGAGAGGGGATCTCTTTCAATTAATTTACAGTGTATTTGATATTACTACTTTGGCAAGAGCCAGTAAGTTGCTTACAAGTAACTTCAGAGAAGCATTCTGGTTTTTTTTTTTTGCTTGAGATGTAGTCTCCTTGAAGCTAGGCTGAGGAGTTGTCATGAAAAAAATACATCCTTGCAGGCTTAAGACAGAGTCTTCAGACCAAGGTTGTATTGAAGGGAAGTGCAGATTGTGCTTTATCTTTTTTGATCCTTAGAGTCTGAATAAAGAGGGCAAGTAGTATAAATATAGATGGACTGTTTTGAAGCAGGACTGCACATTTCTATGTGAGTAGTAATTTTCACTTAGATGTATGAGCGAAAACTCCTTGCCTAAATACATGTTGTAAGTGTGTCCATTCCAGGTGTTGGGTAAGAATGTTAAATCTGTAGAGTATGGTGAGCCGTAAACACTGAGAACGAAGAACCCTGATCATGTGAGGGAGACTAGGTCTTCCTTGCTTGCTTTGGGAGACTTGCAACTTCTCCATTGCATTTATAGAGAAGAGTGCCGCCTCTTCTTTTTCATTGAGAGTTCCTGTAAGGAAGAGGCTTGGCTGTGAGGAGGCGGCTTGGATGCCTTCCATTTATAGAGTTAGGTGATCACATGCAGAATCTCGTTTGTCTCTCAAGAAGTGTGAGAATTTTCAGAACGCTTCTGCAGCTCACTACCCAGGGACACCGTTGTGTGGAAGTGGTAATAAAGAATGATCTTTAATTTAGAAAAAGATAAAACAAACTAGGCAGCAGCTGAGAAGGAAACCTAGTGTTCTGAATTTTAATGCCTCATTTAATATCAGAGAAGCCAAGGAGCTTTTGTTCTTTTACTAATACCAGAGCTGAAGGAGTGAATTCTAGTACTAGAGTGGAAACACTGGTATTGGGAGAAGGATGGTTTTAAAGTTGTGTCTTAATTTGTACAGGGACATCTCTAAATTTGCCATGCATTACATCATAGAAGAAATAGATGAAGATACGTCCATGGAAGATTTGCAGAAAATGATGATAGTAGCTCTCATTTACAGGTTATTAGTCTGCTTCTATGAGGTAACTACTCAAACATTAACTTCTGTAATTAATAGTTGTCAGTTGTTGAATAAATGTTTAAAAAAATTCTATCACCATTGGCCTATAAAGTAAATCCTTTTTACAGTATTTTAGATTATGTTGAAGCCTGTGACTTTCACATAGTTCTGATGAAAACCAAGTTTGCTGGACCAGTCGACAGTGTGGTGGTGTGCGGAATTGAAATAACTTTTCTTTTACAGATCATCTGTATTTGGGGAGCAGGTGGAGCAACCCCAGGGAAATTCTTGCTTGGACTGCGAGTTGTGACATGCGATACGTCTGTGCTTATCGCACCCAGCCGTGTGTTAGTCATTCCATCTTCTAATGTCAGTATGACAACGTAAGTGCTCTTAGCTCAGACGTGTTGCTTTCAGGTTCATAGTGTGGAAAGCCTGTGACTGGGGAGGAAAGAAACAATTTTTTTTATTGTTGGCCTTTATAATAATTAGATTGCAAGATCTGTTAGTAGATTCTGTGATCTAAGAATAAAACAGCAATTACTCAATCGTCAATATTCTGGTTAGGTGGTAAAATAAGTTCCTCTAAACTCTGGAGATTGGTTGTGTGTTTTTTGTGTGTGTGCTGTACAAAGCTGAGGCACTAAGCTTAAAAGGAAACTACCTACTAATATAAGCAGAAAGGTGAAAATAAGGCACTGAATATTTTATTCTCATTTCAGGTCCACAATACGAGCTTTGATCAAGAATTTTTCTATTGCTTCATTTTTTCCTGCATTCATTACGCTGCTGTTTTTCCAGCATAACAGAACAGCCTACGATATTGTAGCAGGGACTATTGTGGTAAGAAGAAATGGAGTCAGATGATACCAAGAGATCACATTTCCAGACTGGTTTTGAACATCCCCTCCTACCCCCAGTGAACAAAGACCTACCCCAAAACTGAAATAGAGGTGTCTATCAGAATCCTTTGCCCAAATGGACTGGGAACTGATTCAGAAGCTAAAGAAAATGTTTTGCTCCAGTATGATGCCAGCAGCTACCTTCAAAGTATCGGGGTTTTCATAAATGCCAAAGATGTTTGGGAGAAACAGTATGTATTAAATCTGGAAGTATTAGCCTCCAATCTACAAGGAAGAAGCTGGCTGTATTAACTGCAGAATGGAGCTGTTCTGTGGAAAGCAGATACCTAGAAATATTCCAACTTAGCAGAAACGTCGCTCCTACAGTTTTGGATATCGTCAGGTAACTAGAAAATCATGGTGTTTTCCAAGCAGTTGCCCAAGTCATACAGTAAGCTCTGAGGGGAAGGGAACTGCAGTATTAGACAGGAGGCACATCATATTAAGTTGCAGTGTGTGTAGGAAAGAGATGAGCAGTGGTCATCATGTCCCTTATTACTGCTGCACATATCATATTCTCACACCTCTTTAAGTATTTTATCAGAACATTGATGTGAAAAGTTTTTTGCATGATTGTCTCCAAGTGCTGTCACTTATTTCACATGTCAAAGCTAATAAAGAGGCGAAACAATAGCTGCTTTTTCTCTGGGAAGGGCATGTAACACTGCAGTGATAGTGATGGATTTTGGAGCTGTGAAAGGTGCTACTGAAAGGTAACTCTCTTGTTTCTGTTTGGAGTGAAAGCACTTGTCTATTTCTTGCATATAATACCAAGCAAAAGAACTGAATGTGTTTCAGGAGCATGCGGAAAACATTAACTGAAATGTGCTATGGGTGTAAATCTCTGGCAGTACAAATCCTGGTTATTTTCACTTTGTATATTTGGAATAACTTAAGTAATAAAGGAACCTAATATTTTGCATGTTTACAAAGCTTTGATAATTTGTTTATTCTCATGTTACTAGTATAAACAACAATGTTAAAGTTTCATTAAAATTTGAGTAAGAGTTTGGAATTCTTCTAGAGCCCAGTTCTTGTGTGTCCCTCCCTTAGGGGTAACTTGCCACTTAGTGGCTGAAGTTCTTGCACTGCCTTCAGTTTTGACAGTGGTTTGGTTGACTGAGGGCTTGGCTATCTCTCTTGTCTTCAGGTGAAATAACTTCATGAGTAACATGTTAATATTCTGCAGTATTTTGGTTGGATGAGTGGTGGTCTCATGTATATAATGTTCTGTGTATGCATTCTGATCTTTCTTTGCAGGGGTTTTGGGACCAGATCCACTGCTTAGTAATGGGAGAATGACATTTTCCTATTGGTTACCTCTCCAGAATGAAATTGCTCCCATTTTTAGATAATTCTGCAGTAAAAAAAAAAAATTGATTGTCTTGGCTAGAAAACCAATTTTCAAGTCTTTGCCTAATCAGAAAATGTATCAAAATACCTCATCATTTGGAGGTTTACTATTGTTTTACACTAATAATTTATTATCAAACAAGAGGACTTTGGAATCTTAAACATCCTGTTAGCATCAGAGCAATATTTATGTTGTGCAGCACTGAAATAAAAATGGCAGAAAGCCCTCTGCAGAGATTGTTAGACCCCCCTGAAGAGGAGGTGTCCAGCTGGAACTGAAGTTCAGAGATATCACTTAAGTGTTGCACTGTTGACTTAGACATCAATGTTAGAAGTTCAGGCATGGCTAAAGGCTCTCAGAATTAACAGACAAGAGTCCCTTCTCAGCTGGGTTTTTGCCCATTGATGATTTCAGTACAAGTACAAAAACAACTTTTGTTCTAGTTACTATAGCAGTGACCTAGAAACTAGGATTCTAGTTTGACTCTTACGCAAGCTGCACTGGAGATGCAGGTTTTCCTGTTTGTAGGATGAGTACCTGGCAGGTGATAGAGCTAAGGGAAAAAAAGTGAAATGTGGGACATTTTTCAGATTTAGACATCTGGAAATAAATCTTTGTATCTCATCCTTCCACAGCTACAGGGGGAAGATGCAGCTTGTATGTGTGGTTTTAAAGTCCAGTTGCTGAATATTTTCCTATTTCTATAAGTGATCAGAGCTCTACACGTGTCAGAAGACTCCCAGGAAAACAGAAGTGGGCCTTTTGTCCTCCTGTCTAGTCTAGCTGGTGGTTAGAAAAGTATCTATCTCACATGGTAACACTGGCACCTGCAGTTGTGCAAGTGCACTAGCAAGAAACCCCACCAACACCACTGGAGCCATTTAAAGCTTATGCAACTTAGGCAGGTCTTCCCCCTTTCAGCTGTAGCAAAGCAATTGCATCTCAACCATAAACCAAGTGCTGTGGCTTCAGGGAAGTGCAGCTGTGCTCTCCAGGCAAACGAGCATTTCCTCTCCTTTTTCTAGCATAATGTCTCTTCCTCTAAGCTGCTCCTTTAACTGCTACAGAAAGGGGAAAAAAAACAGTTATTTACAATTGGGTATAGTTTTTCCTCTTCAGTTCAAATGCTGGTGAATGTTGGCAAGATCAGTTTGTTGTGTGTTTTTTTTTTAATAGCTCTATAAAAATTAACTGCCACTGTTGCAGCAAGAGAGCTGGCACAAGCTCTGAGCTTAAGTCTGCAATAAAATGCTCCTACCTAACAGGGGACCCCTAATTTAAGCTCCTCTAAAATCAGCATCCCTGTCAAAAAGTAGAGAGTGGAGAAAGCACGTGACATCACTCAGGTTGAATGCATCATCTTGTGCAGTTTGTAGCTACAAATGCCTTCATGGAGAGTTAAAACTGCCAGACAATATTTCATAGTTTTTTATTGATGGCATTTATCCCATGGTTTAACATGTTAATTATACTGTAATAAACATGGCTTTAATATTAAACTTTTCCTTATTATCCAAAGTCACCACAGTCCATTTCAGTAAATATAAAAATATATACTTAATACTTTGTACAATACTGGTTTTTGGTCCAAACAAAAATGGATCAGAAAAGCCAATAAACTTACTTTAAGAATTCCCAATTTTAAAGATTTTCTAAATGGATTTAGGCAACTTTGAATAATGGGATTTACATAAAATCTGAGACAATACTAAACAAAAATGGCCATAACACACAAAATTAAAATTTCCATTTCACAGATTTGTTATGCCAAAAAAGTACATAGAGAAACAAAATTGTATTTACACATGTTTCATAATAAAATAACAAAGGCGAGACAGGTGATAAAGGGCTGTAAGAATGAAAATATAGAAATAGCATATAATTATTAAATGAAGAACTACAGATCTAACAAGTCCTTAGCATGGGTCATCCTTTAATCAGTCTTCCTCTATCAGAAAATTTTAGTGCACGATACACCCAAACTCACTCACTTCACACATACACCAGCACAAACTCGGCATCAAAATCATTCGTTATCAACACGCTCTACTCTATACAGCATCCCTCGCTGATATAATTACAATTCCGAGGCGTCAGTAAACGCAGATGAGCGCACGTGGTGGTGCGGATGAGGAGGTATTGTACAAGCCATTCACTGTGCGGGCGCTACTCACGGCTACAGCCAGACCATGCCGAGTCAGTGAAAGAAGTAACTTGCTGGAGTCTAAAATTCTAAGTTTTGCTTCAGAACAGCCCTGTTGCCAACTCTATTCATTACCAAAAAGCTAACCGGGGAGAGGGAAGGGAAGGAAAAGGGCAGCAGAGTTTTAGATTCCTTTAGGCAGATCTGGCTTCAGCTAACCCGGCATGAGATACGGTCCCAACAGCTGACCAATGCAGGGTAGCAGCTGCTTCGAAAGCCGCTTTATCCATCAGGTGATTATTTTCTACGTCTAACTGCAGTCTTTATCTTCCGACCAGAAACTGAAGATCCAGAGGCAGAGAAAACATTTTTCCCATTAGTCCTATCAAAAGAAATTAGTAGTTCAGAGTTTAGGACAGTGTAGCTGAAAATTTAGTAGCAGCACTGAGCAGATACTCCAGAACAACCATTTCATAGTCTCGTCTTGCTAGTTACCAGCTGGCAACAAATGGCATATGATGAACAGAAGACAGCTCCAGAAACCAAAAGCAATTAAATCTCCCTTATCCGGAAGGGAAGTGGCAGCATAATGGCTAGATACGGATTTTACCTCTCAAGAACAAGACCATTTCACATATGTTGGTGTGTGGTATTCCTGACAACTAGGCTCCTCTAAAGGTACCGTTGCTTAGTCAGCCAGTCAGGCTAGTGCAAGGAAGGTGCCCAGTTTAGTTTCAAACTCCAAGGTTCATCTGAACACCTCCTGACTTAACAGCAGTAGAGGCTCAACACTGTCCACTGATATTACCCAAAGCTCAAGCGAAATTCTGATACGATCTCTTACCCCACTGTAAATGCTGGAGGCTGGCTGAATGAAAATCCTGAAGAGCCAGAAGGCTGTGACGGAGCTGCTGGTGCAGGAGGATTTGCACCAAAAGTAAATACTCCTGGGTTATTTGGAAAGTTGAAGTTGGAAGTATTACTTCCAAACTGGAATACAGAACCTGGGAAGATGGGGTAGAAGCAGAAGGGAGTAAGAAAGTTGAAATCTGAGTTCATCCTTTCCCGCACAATCCTCACATTCTTCCCACTGTATCTTTAATCTTTTTTTTTTTTTTACAGCTCGCTCAAAACAGTGAAGTTGGGGGAGGGGGGTGTACCAGAAGTGCCAGATTACTACAGGAACAGTCCACAGAAGAATTCATTCACTTTAACAGACAATCATAAAGGTATTCTTAAAGTCTGGCACACTGATCAGGACTTGTTTGCTAACTTCTGTACCACCATGAAGTTTACACCTGCGCATACTGAAATTTATTAATAATATCTTAAATTACAGTATTGAATCATGTAGATCTGTGTTTAAGTAAACTTTCTGGTGCTCATGCAATCCATCTGGGGACTCCCTTTCCTTTAATGTGCTAACACAGTACCTCATCTAAAAGAAAGTAGAGTACATATACATTCCTACCATGAAAGTAACTGATAAGCAACATGGACAATCCAGGGAGATTTTTATCTTTGATTAATGAAAGACTGGTGTGCCAACTAATCTGCCAATTAGTACAAAAATGATGGTTACTCTTAATGAAGGAAAAAAAGGAGGTTTTTCCCTTTAAGTGTTTGACATGATGGTATAAAATATACGCATTCTGGCAGTGTGGTTTTCTTTTTTAATAATTGCTAGTGTGGAACAGGTCTTTCTTACACCAAAATTATAAGGATCATTCTCTGCCCCCTTTCCACGGTATTTTATACTTCTTCAGTAAAAAGAACT